ATTTTTTTTTTTTTTTTTTTTTTTTTTAGAAAGGGTTTCAAAGCACCTTGACGAAAATTTAGGCTAAGGAAATAAAATTGAATTCTCAACAAAATTATAAAATATAAGATTCAATGAATTCATGCATGTTTCTCTAGCTGTTAGGTTTTAATTTAAAACGGTTGATCTTTCTTTCCGTATCGTCAACTTTCATCTTCAGGCTAATGAGAATTTATGTCCATGACAAATCCGCCGGCAGACATTTTTTCCCTACTACTAGACTTACACAAAATGCCATAGTACAACACTTGTCTGTCCACGACAAATTTCGGTAAAAGATAAGTCTATAGACGAACACATAAATACTACTAGGCTACATGAGATTTGTATAGGAAATACGTCTCCCCAATAACTCCCCCCCCCCCAACGTCCATAATTTTCGCCATCTTTATAATAGGCTAATAGGTTTAGATCAGGGGTCGGGAACCTATGGCTCTATTAATGACTGCATCTGGCTCGCAGACAAATGTTCGATTATAGAAAAACAAACTCGCATTAATGGTAAGAAATACCCATCATTGATTAGCAACAGCATAACAATGTTATTAAAAAGAATACAGATACAAAATTAATGCATTTTTAGTTTTGAAATTACACAAAGTGTACACATTTTACTTGAATTTTTAGTTTTAAACATAATGTTTGGCTCTCACAGAATTACTTTTCAAACTATGCGGTGTCCATGGCTCTCTCAGACAAAAAAGATTCCCGACCACTGGTTTAGAGGATAATTTAAATAACATTAAACAATAGCACGTGTGCAACGTGACGTAATCAAATATTTGTCACGATGGACTCCCGAGAACTACGCTGGCCGATAATTCCTGGACCAGCCGCTGAAAAGGTAGACTATATTGTTGCATATCAACTATTGTGGTATGCATGTGTCCACATAGTAGATGATATATACTTTATTGATGCACATTATGCATGCCGGTGGAAGAACCCGCGGATGCAACGAAAGTTACGCCATTGTTAACATATTTTAAATTTAACAACCCCAATAACAAACAACGTTTTTTTTTTTTTTTTGTTATAAATCCTTTATATTCCTGTTTATTATAAATTTAAAAAAAAAAAAAAAAAAAAAGAACCTCATTGAGCGCAGTGATCTGAAATGTTATCTCTTGAAATCTCAGTGTCATTTTATGGCCTTCAACTTCCCCTTGAGAAACAGGAAAATTAATTTTTGGGGGGTTGGGGCTGAAAATTTGATAGAATGTATTAATCATTCCTGCCCAAGACAATCAGGGACTGGAACAGTCTTTCAAAAGGAACGGGTGAAGCGACAACACTAAGACACATTTGTGTCTATTGCCCCAAGCCTTCAAACCCCTGGTGCATGATTCCCTCACAAAGTGGCACTGGAAATCAGTGAAATTTCCTCATCAACACCAGTAACAGAAACATTGGAAATCCCATCTACATGCATAGGAGCCAAAATGATAAATAAATTGATCGTGGGCCCTTAAGATTTAGAAGAAGAAGAAGAAGAAATGAGACTAGAGAATAAATGAAACTAGAGAATATATGGGACTCTAATGGGACGAGATAATAAATGAGACTATAGAATAAATAAGACTAGAGAATATATGGGTTTAGAGAATAAATGGTGCGAGAGAGAGAGCGTGGGACGAGAATATATGGGTTTAGGCAGGCCTGCACAACATACGGCCCGCGGGCCACATGCGGCTCGCCAGTACCCACTTTGCAGCCCGCGAAGTAACGACATATTCTTTATTATTTATTATTATTATTTTTTTAATAGCTTCCCCCCACCCCCTGTCCTTTTTCTTTCGGCCCGCACAAGATTTTCATATAGTATTACGGCCCGCCTTACATTTGTGTTGTGCAGGCCTGGTTTAGAGAATAAGTTGGGCGAGAGAATATTATGGGTTCAGAGAATATGTGGGGAGACAGAATATGTTGGGAGACAGAATATGTTAGGAGACATAATATATGGGACGAGAAGGATGGTGGTCTCCCCTATAAATATGTAACGTTATACTGAAGTGTCAATTTTTAACATAATAGTAATAATAATACAACGTCATCTACATCATATATAATATAAAATAATGTAAGAAATCTCGTCCGTTTCCGTCAGTTTCCGTCAGGACATTTCAAGTTATTCATAACGACACGGGAACTCGCCGTCAACTCTGGGTGTCCGGAATGATGAGATCGTGCGTGTGTCGCATTAGCGCAGTCTTCAGTTTTGTCACGAGTCTTTAGAGGTCAGGGTCGCACGGTCAGGACACGATGACCGGCGTTGGCTGAGGCCTGATAAGTGCAGTACAACGTGGCCGATAAGAGAACATCTTGCACAGTTTGGGGGGACAATGTCACATCTGGGGTCTTGACTGCAAGGCTTGCATGGTGCCAGGATCTGAAAAGGGGGAGAAAATGTGAGGTCATTAAATTTTTTATGGACTCAAATTTCTTATTTTAATTTTATCACTATCAAAAGTCAATCTCTGTCTCTCTCGCTCTCTCTATCTCTATCTCGCTGTTTCCCTGTCTTGATCTCTCTCTGTCTGTCTCTCTCTCACTGTCTCCCTGTCTTGATCTCTCTCTCTCTCTCTGTCTGTCTGTCTCTCTCTCTCTCTCTGTCTCCCTGTCTTGATGTCTCTCTGTCTTTCCCCCTCGTTCTCTCTCTATCTCTCACTGTCTCCATCCCTTGCTCTCTCTCTCTCTCTCTCTCTCTCTCTGTTTGTTCTAACTCTCTCCATCTCTCTGTCTCTCTCCATCTCTCTGTTTTTCTCTCCATCTCTCTGTCTATTTCTAACTCTTAAACACTCTCCCTCCCCCCTCTCTCTCTCTCTCTCTCTCTCTCTCTCTCTCTCTCTCTCTGTGTGTTCTCTCTCTCTCTCTCTCTCTCTCTCTCTCCATCTCTCTCTTTTTCTCTCCCTCTCTCTCTCTCTTTCTCTCTCTTACACACTCTCCCCCCCCCCTCTCTCTCTCTCTCTCTCTCTCTCTCTCTCTCTCTCTCTCTCTCTCTCTCTCTCTCTCTCTCTCTCTCTCTCTCGCTCTGTCATACTATTTACATTTTCATTCATAACATGTTTTCCCCCCTCCGCACCTCTGTAGGCCCCTACTCCCCAATTGCTGTACAATAGACAGGGGGTGGGGGGAGGAGCCCAACCCATCTGCTATACGCTTTAGTACAGAGCACACGACCTTACATAAGATACACGGCCCACGGCATAGTACAGACAGCACAGTACACACGGCACAGTACACACGTTACAGTACACACGGCACGGAAAACATGGTACGGTACAACGGCCTTAAATAAGACACGTCCAGTACAGTACACATGGCTTTATATAAAACACACCAGTACAGTACACATGGCACAGTACACTCGGCCTTACATAAGACACACCGAAACCGTACACACGGCCTTACATAAGAAGCACCAGCATAGTACACAAACACAGTACACA